TTAAGGTATGTATCGAAACAGTATATACACAATGTGTGTTATATATATATATATAAAGATGTATACATACATACATACATACATACATACATACATACATACATACCTACATACATGCATGCATACATATATACATACATACATACATACATACATACATACATACATACATACATACATACATACATACACAAGAATACATACACCCATATCAGAAGCCACCTACAGTAAAGGATGCTGCTCGATTTAGGGGATAGCCCGGTTTCCTGGGCGCTGAAGGCTCCGCATGCAGTACCGTTGATTCCGTTGATGGCAGGATTTGTAGGGCTTGGGTGCAAGTTTTGGGTTGAGGGGTTTGATTTTGGGCTGAGGGGTTAACCTGTCGTTAGGCGGCTGCAGGCGCACAGTGAAACCACATCATAGACCCTCAGCTTGAAAACCTAGACCCTGAATCTCAAGCTCTACGGCCCTAAACTTTGAACCCTAAACCCCACATGCTGAAACACCTTCGTGAGACCGAGCAGCCGCCTCAACCCGACACCCCAGAACAAACACAGCTAATATAGAAGTCGGATTAATTACTTCCAGTTCCTTAGGGTTCCTATTCTAGTTTTGATACAAGATAACTCAGGACCCGACAAGAAGTAAGGCTCCAGGTGCCCATGTCTTTTACACATTGGCCCTGAAGTACGCCTCTGGGGATCCGCTTCAGCTTAAGGCCCGTATGTGCTACAGGGGTACATGGGAGAGTTATACCGTAGACCCTAAACCCTTATGGCTATGTGCAAGGAATCCTGAAAGGAGCTTGTAAAAGGAGCCCTCAAAGCCGTATACCCTAAACCACAAACCCTTTAAGGTACCCTGACCTAAATGGAGCCTGTAAAAGGAGCCCTTAAAGGAACCCTGAAAGGTTTACTTAGAGCTTCCACGGACTTAGTAATTAGGGTTATAAATACGGTAACTAGACTTATAATTACTTATCACCCCAATCAGGGTACTTATAACCTTACTTACTAAGTCCCATGATCCTCCAAGTAGGGACAGCCGAGGTCGAAGCTGACCTGCTGCTGTCGGCGTGCCGTGCGCCAAATCCCAGAGCAGAAGGTGCTTTTGGAGGTCCCGCGATGTTTACGATTGGAATTAGGGTTTTGGGGCCCATTATGCCATAATCATAATACGGAGCCCTGAAAATCATGTGGTAATGATCTAGGCCCCCTAGAGTAGGGCTTGTCGTTTAGGGTGTTCCTTTTGAAGTTGAGGCTTTAGGGTTCAAAGTTTAAGAGTTCCTTCTCATTTGGGGTTGCTTTAAGGGCTCACCTGCTGGTTCTTTTCATGGCTCTCTCTCTCTCTATATATATATATACAAATATAGGCTTTTGTAGGGTTTTCTTAGAGTTTCTTTTCTGTAACGGACCGTTTAAGTGAGTTGCGCGAAGGGTGCCCGCACACGTAGAGAGGCTTAAGGCGACACCTTCCCCAATCCCGACCTGCCAGATGTTCATGGAGCGGGCCAACCTCCCGACGTACGAGAAAGCGATGATCCACACCACGGTGCTTGGCTTTGGCCCCAGAGGAGGGGGCTGCAGACCTCTAGGCCAAGTGCTGTTTAAGGTTTCGGGTTTACTGTTACGCTTGGGGTTTTAGGTTGCGTGGCAAGGGCCCACTACCCGTTCAGCACATTTCTGATCTCATGCAGGGCTTCTTCCTGAATTTGAAGAGTTTGAAGGGCCCTTAAGATCTCCCTGAATGGCATCTTTGAGCTCCTCCCTCAATGGGGTTGTGCGAACCGAGGTGCGAGATGGATGCGGAAGGAGATGGGTCCATGGCGCATGTAGGGGTGCTGCCTACAGGGTTTTGGGTTTTGAGGGGATTTGAGGGGTCTACCGTTTAGGGCTTAGGGTTTCTTTTTGTTTGGGTTAGGGGTTTGGCTTTAGGTTTTTCTGGGTGGAAGGCTTTGGGCTGATTCGCCATGAAATTTTTGTCCGGTCGGCGTGCGGACGATGTGCCTGTGACCCAAAAACCCACAAACCTTGCGGAGTGTACCGTTCAGGGTTTATAGGGGTTATCCATGGGGACATGTTCTGTGGCTGACCAAATAACAGAGCTACTGATGTGAAGTAGGCCACAATAGGCTGCAAGACAAACCCTGAAACTATTCGTAAGGCTGCGAGAAACCTTATGAAAACCTCCGAAACCCTTAGCCTTCAACTCAGAAATAAGCCTGACACCGCTGATTCAGTATCTCTTTTGCAACGGCGCCCCTTTCTTGAAACTCCCAATACAAACCTAACCCTTAAAAACCCTGATTTTCAATAAGTCCATAACACTCCAAAACCCCCTAGACTCCATCCAGAACCATGAACCCTAAACCCTAAACCCTAAACCCTAAACCCCAAACCCCAAACCCCAAACCCCAAACCCCAAACCCCAAACCCCAAACCCCAAACCCCAAAACCCAAAACCCAAATCCAAGCCAGTCCATCCGCAGGAACGCGAGAGGTCTGTCTTCTCCGGCCAGGCTCCGTTGGCGCTGAGGGCTTGCGGTTTCGTAGCTTTGGGTTTAGGGGTTACATTAAACATTAAACAACCATAAACCTTTTGTTCAATAAATAGACTTAGATATAAGAATATGTGTGTGTATATATATATATATATATGTATATATATATGAACCCTAATATATGGGATTTACAAGGACCCTACAAAAAAGTAGGTTTTGGTAGGTTAGAGTAGTGTTGAGGGATTAGGGTTTAGGGGGGTTGCGGCGACCCGGGCTTCGGGTTAAGAGCTTTTTGAGTTCGGCACTTAGGGTTTGACGGTCTGTCGCTCAGGGACTCCTGAAATTTTGTAGGGGCCTAAACAATTACCAATACTATTTTTTGGTTTTTTTTTGGGAAGGGGGGTTCCTGAATATAATCATAGTACAACATAATGGGCCCAAAACCCTGTTCTAATTATTAAGGCCCCTATACTAAACAAATTTCCGACCGAACGGAGGGACGATGGTTCAGTTAAGTCTATAGAGCCCAAACCCTTCCGCTTATTGCTGACGACATGGCTTAGCTTAGGCCCTTCAGACTGTGCGGGTTTGGGTGCCATGGGTTGGAGTGTAGTAGTAAAGATACTTCGCAGCGAAAATCGTTTTTAGGCGAGGGCTTGGCAGTTCCACTTTCCACGGTTAGGGCATAGGAATTCGAGTTGAAGGTGTGCGGTGGATCATTGCTGAAGCACCATGTGATGGTTAAACCTTGCTTGTTGGTTCTCTGCTGGCGATGATGTTGCATGTAGGTGTTTAGAAAAGCCTGAACCACACCCCAAAGTATCCTGTCCATCCTGTCGCCAGGACTTCCACAAAGTTATGAATCAAGCACGGCTCCTGAAGCGATAACTTAACTTGCACCGTTCGTCCACAAGTATTTCTAAATTGAAAGCTCTGAGGCCGCATTGGCTCATGCCAACCAATGTTCTCACTTAAGTCCAGAAAACTGAGCAGCTAAATTGCTGTATTACGGTACCATACTTTACACTTGAAGGTAAACTGAAAGGTTTCACGTTTTGGGGGGCAACGAAGAAATCAAAGCAGCATCAGCCCGGCAACCTAGACCGTCCCAAACTGAAACCCTTTTCCAACAGCATGCCCCGACGCACAAAGACAAACTACTGTAAGCCCAGTTCCTGTGTCAAGTAGCAGGGACAACAGGACGCACTTCTCCTGCAGCTTAGATGCGGTCTTTAGGTAAGCCAAAACCATGTCACGGAGCGTTCTTTTGCGTACTTGCCACTTCGGCACTGACTCCTGTGATCCATCAAACTGGAAATAACCTGCAAAACCCATATAGTACCGTAAGGCTTATAGGAATTTCCAAAACATTACAAGTAGCCCTTATAGTCATTTAATTACGTATACTCCTTGGAATGTATCGGAAAACACCATTCTTACTGTCAAGGCCCTTTGATATTTTACATGATCGTGCCTGACTTTACGTTCGAGTATGCAAGTATATTCGAGCATGTTAAAATGCTTTATAGCCTGTACATGATCTCGTATACTATCGTATACTAGAGCTTATTGCTGTACATTCTCTCTGGGGCCCCCCCTTAAACCCCCATGAACTACATCGGTCAGGACACCTCCCTCGATGTCGCAGTCAATGATCCGGTGGGACCCGATCTCGCAAACGCACGCAGCTGAGATGATGAGACGCTCTTGGGATTTAGGGTGTGTAAGGGTCTAGGGGTTTCATCCCTAAGCCGTTGTAAGCGGTCCTTACGAGTTCTTGGGGTCTTGAACTTAAGTTGAGTCAAGATCAAGGTAAAGCTTTCATGTTTCGCCCTTCAAGGAGGTGCCCAGGCCTGACGACTCCCAACAGGCCCAGCTTGAGTAGCATCCATGTGACCACACCCCCGAACTTCTACACCCCGTCTATTCAGGAAAATGTCCTAAATTGTTTCTAGAAGGAAAGTATGATTGAGGCTGTATATATATATATATAGAGAGAGAGAGAGAGAGAGCGAGGTGCATGATATGTAAAAATGTATATCTGCATGTCCTAGCTTTTGTGTTTTTGCAAGTCCTGGCTTTGCAAAACCAGATTCTGTTTCCCTCGGCTGTGGAAGCCCAAAATACCTAAACCCGACACCCTGGTCCCTGTCAGACCGATCGTTGAAAGGCTCTAGGGCTTGGGCTTAGGGCTTTGGGTTTGAGGTTTAGGGGTTAAGGTTTAAGGTTTAGGGTTTGGTTTTAAGGCTTTGGGCCCAGGATTCGCGTTTATTGCCTTGCGTTCTACTGTGTAAGCACTTAGGGCCCTTTGGGAAAGAGGTTGGGAGTTGGGGGGGATCCTAACATGAGGTGTGGATGCTGTCGAAGCTCAGAAATCATACGGGCTACCTCAAGCCGCATGTCGAAAGCCTAAACCCTAAATTCTTACTATCCTAAACCCTATATCCTAAACCCTTATAATCCTAAGCCCTGAATAAATCGTAAGTCCTAAACCCTAAACTCTTGTAATCCTATAGGCCCTAAACCCTAAACCATCTGAACCCCGACGCCCCTAAACCCTAAACCCTAAACCCTAAACCCAAACCCTAAAGCCTAAACCCTAAACCCTAAACCCGAGCCGGAGAGCCAGGCGAACATGGATCAGGGCTATGCCGAGGAGCTGGCTGAGCACTGCAAGGCCAAAAGTGTAGCCCCAGGTGTGGAAGTCCTTAGGGTTAGGGTTTAGGGTTTAGGGTTAGGGTTTAGGGTTTAGGGCTTAGGGTTTAGGGTTTAGGGCTTTGGGTTTAGGGTTTAGGGTTTAGGGCGTCATAATCCTGGCGGATGGAACTAGTTGCCCCGCCAAACCCTAAGCTCTAAACTCTAAACCCCTATCCCGAAGGCCAACTGCACTTAAAAACAAAAGTTTAACCTGTTATTGCCTGGATGCCACAGACTGGTTGCATTCAGATTTGGGGGTTTCCGAAAATAGGGGACCCTAATATAGTACCCTAAATAATAGGATCCTTATTATAAGGACCCCAAAATAAGGTACCCCTTGTTTTTGGAAACTCCCATTTTGTTGCTGTACCCTAAACCCTAAACCCTAAACCCTAAACCCTAAACCCTAAACCCCTAAACCCTAAACCCTAAACCCTAAACCCTAAACCGTTGCGTTCAGATTTTGTTGCTGTCTCTACCTTCTGCTCATCGAACCAGTCGTCTCCCCCTGCGCTCGCGGTTCTCTCTCAGGGTTTTAACAAATCCCACAGGGTCCTTTTAGGGTTTAGGGGTTTAGGGTTTAGGGGTTTAGGGTTTAGGGTTTAGAGTTTAGGGGTTTGGGGTTTGGGGTTTAGGGTTTAGGGTTTGGGGTTTGGCAAGGTTTCCAAGACAGAACTTGCTATGTCTTGCTACTGGGAGTAACCCGGATATCAAACCCTAAACCCTAAACCCCTGGATATCGGCAAGTAGGATCCTAGGGGATAGGGCAGATCAATGAAGGCACCACTTCAAAGGCCTCGCAGTTAAGGACGCTGCCGTAAACTGTACCAAGCTTAGTATTATGCTTGAGGGTATGTTCCCCTACCCTAAACCCTCAACCGTTCTGCTTAAGGCTTTTTTTAGGTATATGTCTATAGTCGTCAATGCAGTACCCTACTCAGAAGGTTAAGACTTTGGACGCACAGATTGTACATCTCGAAGCACATCCTAAGTTTCATGTATCTGAGTTTGAGCTTATGGGTTTCGAGCTTATGGAGGCGGATGCTATGTTAAAGGTTTAAGTGAATTTTAGGGTTTGCAGTCGACGCTTGGTACAATTAGTCCCGCAAGTGGCTGCTGCAGGCTTTCTCGGACGCTGCCTACGATCCAGAGGCACCTCCGCGATGTGCCTCCACTGCTACCAAGGTTGTGAAAATGTCGGGCACCCAAAACCAATCTTCTAAGCTTATTCACCAAAGCCTAAAACCCAATCAAGCCCGAAAGCCCCGAAGCCCTTCACCCTGAGGCTGGTGTACCCTTCACTCAAAATTCAACATACGTACACCCCTTGCCTGAGGTGTAAATCCGTAGCTGGGGTTTGGTTTCTGCTGAGCTCTAGTTTACTGTTACCCTGCTTGCTAAGCCGCTAAAGGCCCTGAGTCTTTACGTCCAGCTTCACATGACAAGGTACTAAACTCTGAGCCCAAGGGCATACACAGGAAAAAGCACACTAAGGTCCCCAAAGCCCAAACCCTAAAGCCTTGAAGCTGTTCGCCAAAAACCTTAGGGTTGAGTCCCCGTCTAAAGCCCAAACCCAAAGGTCAAATTTCGTAACACACAGACCCTGGAATCTAGAACATGCCCTGTGACCTCAGCCTGAAGCATGAAAATTGAGCGCAAGAGCCCTAACCTAAACCTAAAACCAACACCTAAATGCCAAGCCTGCGTCAGCACTCGCACCTCTGCGCCGTCAACCCCAGAGCCCAAAGCAAGCCTTATTCTCTCTGACCTCTGCGTAGTAAGCAGTTCATTTTTGCATATACATACTCACTGACTCACTCACTCACTCACTCACTCACTGACTCACTCACTCACGGCCTTCGAAGACAGTCTTCAAGCCAAGCAGGGGGACTTAGCCCCAGCGTATAATTACATACCTACCTCCCACCTGCCTACCTACCTACCTACCTACCTACCTACCGACCGACCGACCGACCGACCGACCGACCGACCTACCTGCCTACCTACCTACCTACCTACCTACCTACCTACCTACCTACCTACCTACCTTACCTACGTACCTACCTACGTACCTACCTACGTACCTACCTACCTACCTACCTACCTACCTACCT